CCAAAGAACAGCATAGATAGTGCAGAAGAGAAGAAGCGTGGAAGTAGGAGTAAGAGCGGCAGCAGCCATGATCGTTTCTCCGACGAAGGAGAGAAAAGAAGGGGATTTCAAACTCTCCCACACATATATTGCGGACGCAAGCCGCGTGTGACGGCGCGTTGCGTCTCGGGTAAGCTTGGTTAAAGAATAGTAAAAATTCAAATATAATTTCACTTTAAAATAATAAAAATATTAAGGTGGATTTTTTTATATACTAATATACTTGTTTTAACAAATAATAAGTTTATGTAATTATGTTTCAAATGAAAAATAACATCATATCATAATGAATTTTTATTTTCTTCAATATCATGTTATCTTTTATTTGATTTAACAATTAACACATTCAATTCTTTAATCAAATAAAAAATAACATTATTCTTTTTTCCATTTGAGTTTTTATTTTTGTTAATATCATGTTATTTTTTATTTTTGTCAATATCATGTTATTTTTTATTTGATTGAACAATTAATCCTTCAATTAGACAAACAATGAAGAAAAAAAACCTTTTTGAAGATGAATCAAATAATTGAATTCCGTTTTCTTCTAAGTTTATATGTGAAATTGTGAATGATTTTTGTAATCCATTCTTGAATGGATACCTAAGTTCTAACGTAGAAATTTACATAATATTTCAAGTTCGAACATAAAAACTAGCTAAAGGTAAATATCACCTAAACATATATACACACACGCAAATAGAAAGAATTTTTTTCTAATAAATGAAAATAATTTTGACACATGTCACTTTTTCATTAACTTGGATACATGTTATTTTTTAGTATTTTTGAATAATTGTTTTCTCCATTTGTCATTTGTTATTTTTTTATATTTTCTTAATTAACACATCATATCTACACCTCAATTAATAATTACCTTAATTGAAAATAATCAATAAATTACAATATTAGTATTGATATATATTTAATATGTTTCCTTTTAAATTCAAATTTTAAATTTTAAATATCAAATTTAAAATTTCAAATTTAAATAAAGTTTTATTTAAACTTTCATATTTAATGTTTTGTTTTATCAACCCCGTATAACATACGGGTCGCACACCTAGTTGATTATATGGACCATCTTCAACTCTAATATTATTTTGAGTAATTAATATAGTATCACTTTTCCAACTTTAATATTATTTTATGCGTCTAAAATAGTATAAAAGTGATGCAAGTAAAGTAATTCATCCAATCTGTATCGTAAACTTCTATACCAAAAATACATCCAAAAATATTTTATTTTTTACCTTGTTAATATTTTCTAAAATACCTATTTATTTGCTATTACTTTACTTCTATACCAAGTAAAGTAATTCATCCAATCTGGAACACACATTTGAAACCAACAAGTTTGAAGGTTTCCAAATTTATGGGTTTGAAGAGTTCCATATTCATGGGTTTAAACTCGAATGAAGATAAATGGTTCCATAAATCATTATCATATTTGAAGAACATATCCCACATATTGTTTCCAGAAACCGTTTGTACAAGATGGAAAAATCGAGCTTAACGAAGTTGTTTCCAGATTTGAAGAACACATACGAAGAACACATTTCATATACAAAATCGAGCTTCAAAATCTAATATCGAAATCGAAAATCGAAAGATTTATCGTTCTTATGAGTTCTTCAAAATCGAAACCCTAGTTCACCTACTAAAATCGAAATCGCAAATCGAAGTTTCACATGTTCCAAATTTCACAGAGTTTTCCAGAATATTCAAAATCGATGATCCATTGTTCTTAGATGGTGTTTTGTTGATGATTTTATGATGATGGTGACATATGGGAAAATGGCAACGGGTTCTAGTCAAATAATATTTTGATGCAACAAATAGAAGTTTAAGGATATGCTCCTTATCACATATCTGATTTACCAAGAACTCACCAGGATATTCATGTATCATCGGAGTCTCGCGCGGAGAAGATGATCGAAGATTCGTCGGAGAGGACAAAGACACTGGAAACCTTCAATAACCGGTGATAGCTAGTAAAAATGGTTATGTTGAACACAAACAACAAGTTAGATGGTACATTGCATAACAAAAAAGCAGACCTAATATGAAAAAAAATTAACAATGGTCCTCCTGAATCATTTTCCCAAATGATAAGTCTTGCAAAACGGCAATTACAAACTTTATTTGTGTGTGTGTGTATGTGGGGGGGGGGGGGCTTGAATCTTTTTGATACCCTTATTGTCAAAATAAACCCTCTAAGTACAATTTTTTCTCTTCCATCAGTAACATGAATAATTTACATACAAGTTGAATGTTCTCCATGATTTCACTAGGTTTACCATGATTTATTTTATGACAAAATAGTCTCTACTTCAATGTGTATCATTTCCTTTATGTAATGATTAACGAATAAAATAATTTTGAAAGTCGGTGATGAATATAGAAAACACCATATATTCGACAAACATCGTTAAGTTGTTGGATTTTAAATGTGTATCACCGCAGCCCTTTGTGGAGAAGGGTCTGCTATTGCCACATATTTCATACGTGCTATCACTCAGTGGTTAATTTATGGTTAGCGGGAAGATGTTCGACCATTTTGGCTGAGTTTGTTGCATCTGCTCCTCTCACGCCTCTGCTTAAACCTGACAACGGGATCCGTCCAATTACAGTAGGCACTATATGGAGGCATCTAGTTTCCGAGGTTGCCGTGAAAGGTGTGGGTAAAGAAATGGTCAAGTACGTTAATGATTTTCAGTTCGGGGTTGGTGTGTCCGGGGGTGCTGAGGTTGTGTTACATAATGCCAATAGGGTGTTGAGTGAACACCATGTTGATGGGTCTCTTTTAATGCTGACAGTGGATTTCTCGAATGCCTTTAACCTGGTGGATAGATCATCATTACTCCACGAGGTTAAGAGGATGTACCCTTCTATTTCTTTTCGGGTGAATTTCTTGTACGGGCAAGCAACGGGACTTTATATTGGAGATCAACACATATGGTCTGCCACTGAGGTGTAACAAGGCAACCCCTTGGGCCCTTTTCTTTTTGCCCTCGTTTTGCACAAGATTAGAGACAATTGTAAGCTCCTTCTCCATGCTTAGTATCTAGATGATGTGACTGTTATTGGGGATTCAGAGGAGGTGGCTAAAGTGTTGAACATTATTCGGTTGAATGGTTCAGGCTTGGATCTTTAGTTGAACATCAAGAAAACGTAGATTTTTTGGCCATCCTGTGATGGTAGGAAGACCTTCTTAGGGGGTGAAAATCTTGGGGGGGGGGGGGGGGGGGCTGTTAGCAGAGACGCAGAGTTTATTAGCGGGCTGGCCATGAAGAAAGCGGCCAATGTTGCTGATTTGATGGGTCTTCTTCCACAACTATGTGACTTGCATAGTGAGCTCATTTTGCTTCAATCATGTATGGGCATTGCAAAACTTTTCTTTGGTTTAAGGACATGTCAGCCAGTGCACATAGAAGAGGCAACTTTGTTCTTTGACAAATGATTGTGCAGGTCTATCGAGGTTATGGCGGTATGTGGAGACCCCTTCTTTGGAGACATTCAGTGACTTCTGGCTTCCTTACCTATTCATTTCGATGATTTGGGTTTATACTTGGCATACGAGGTTTCCTCCTACACATTTGTAGCCTCGAGGTCTCAATCTTGGGCATTACAAGACCACATCTTACATGACAGTGACATATGTGGTATGGACTCTGATTACCTATGTGCTATGGTGTGTGCCCTTTATAGCAAAATTATAAGACCACATCTTAAAGACCCCCCCCCCCCCCCCGAAAATCCCAAAAAGAATTGGTGTGTGCCCTTTATAGCAAAATTATCAAAGATATGGAAGTCGACTTTGACTTGACTATTAGACAGAAAGCAGTCTTTGAGTGTCTGCGTGCACCTCATGCTCAGGATTTTCTACTAACTATTCATATTAATGGCCTTGGCCAGCATATGTCTCATATGGAGTACCGAACTATCATTCGTTACCGCCTCATGATTCTTCTATTCCCAATTAAAGAGATATATCCAGTTTGTCGCAAGACATGTTTGGATACCTTTGGGGAACATACGGTTCATTGTAGAGAGCTCACTAATTTCAAGTACATGCATGATGTGGTTAAGGATGTTCTCTTTGATGTTTGTCGGCGTGCTGGTACTTCTGCGAAGAAGTGTCAATGAACTTTTTGACAGGCCCGCAGGATGGAAGATCCGCACTTAGACTGACTGACATTTTGGTCTTTGCATGATCTCTTCTCTCGTTGGTTTGAGGAGCGAGGGTTCCATAGAAGGGCATGCCGCTTTGAAAATCGTTGTGTGAAAAGTGACAAAACACGAGAATGCATGTATATAAAATTAACGCGTGTTTGTACCTTTTGCATTTGATACATTTGGTTTTCCCACACCAGAGGCGGTGAAACTCCTCAACAGAGTTCAGATCATGCATTCTAATGTCATAACTTCAAGATTCATAAATATTATTTTCAAAAGAATTAGTTTTGTCATCCAGAAATGACTAACGGTACAGCTTGTTACTTGTTTGTCTTCCATCGATATGTATTGAACTATATTAGTCGAATTCACGAATTAAAAGTTTCAAATATATTGTTATGATTGTTAAAACATTTTGAAAATTCATATATTTATGATTAAATCGTTTCTAATCTTTTGTATTAATACACTACTAAATGGTTGACTTATGATTATATCTCTGATTTATCTTTGCATCAAATACACTCCTGAATACCCTTCCAAACCCAAATTATATATTGATATTTCATAAGATCGTTTTCACAAATACCCACCTTCCTAACGTAACAATGTATGATCTTTCAAATCGTTCTTAAATGGAATTTTTTTTCAACCGAAACGATATATTGATTCTTTATTCATTTTAGGATTGCAAGCCATTTAATTTGGTGACCTTTTTACATCTATTTGGTGACCTTCACTTTTTTGCTTCAAAATATTCACAAAGACATCATATTAAACCACCTGCAAAAGTTACTCATCATCTTCCTTTTATTTATATTGATAATTGTGTTGATACACAAATAGCTAAATTTAACAGAATAGTACAAAGAACCTTGTTCAACAAGTTCATCGATGTTGGAGAGCATGGTTAAAACATGGCATCTGGATTCTATATGCATGTGACTCAGTTTAATTGAGGTTATATCATGTAAATTCGGTGTAATATTATGTATAATGGGTTGTTATGATTAAACATAGAATGCACTTGGTAACCAGAAAAACCTTTTCAGTATAAAAGCAAGATAAGTAGGAAATACAACAAACCCTATTTCAAGTCAAAGAGAAACAAGAAATAGGTCACCTAACCCACCTCAAGAAAGCAATTACTATCACAAATGTAAGAATCATGCCTGCATATTTAATCCACTGATCAACTCGATTCCGCCTCTCAATAATCCTCAATACAGAATTCGATAACCCCAGTGTGTTGAGCACATCCAATGCTTTCCTTTGAGCTCCCTGAACAAAAATTCAATCTTACTGAATCTGTCTGCATATAACTGTAAATACAAGAAATTTGGAAAATATAGAAACCTTTAAGCGCTCCCTTTGTTCAGAGTATTTAGCAAGAATGGCTGCTCCAGTTGCTGATGCTTCTTCCAACATTCGAGAAGAGTTTCGTGCAGACTGCATTGCTTGTGCTTCCTCATCAAAGATTCGCAAAACATGAGATGATTCTCCGTTCTAAACCACATAAATTCATATATATCAAAAAAGAGATGTCAAAATTTTCCCATTCTTAAAAGGGTATATCACAATCACAATGAATTAAATTAGATAGGATGGATGATTTTCATACAGCTCTTCCAAGCAATTCTGTTCTCTCTTGTGCTTCTTGCATCCTTCTCTGCTGCCGCTGCATGTACCTATCTAAGCTTTCTCTCAAAGAATCGGCCTCTTCAGCTACTTGCTCCACTTTCCTGCCACATTTCAGATCTTATCAGTGTTTTGCCAAATTATAAGTTTAGATCAAATCTTATAAAGTTTTCATTTCAAAGCTCTTAGTGTCCTTTACAATCTGACTATTCGACACTGGAGGGTTACAGGATCGACATACTCCATCAGTGAATTTGAATTTTGGGACAAATACCCTTGTTTGGAATGAAACATTATAATTTTGTGCAATTAGGTTACAGTGATTCGTAAGCTTTAAAGGTCTCAAACTCTATCTCGAAATTCTCTGCTACTTCAACATTGAACTCGAACTCGATCGGAGAGAAGGAAAGGTAACGGAAAATGCAGATCATATATTATACAATTTAAGAGATTATAACTTAAAAAGAGAAACACTAGGAAACGAACACTGACCTCTTCCAGAGATCTCGTTGGGGCTTTGATGCAACGGATCGCCAGAGTCCATCCATCTCAGAACAAAGGGCTTGGATTTGAGAAATATCCCTCCTAACGGCAACAGATAGTTCCGATGAGCCGATGGCACCGGCCGATGACGAAAACTCGAGCCGCTCAACTCTCTCCAAATCATCTCTAGTTTTCAGCAGCAACCGCTTCGATCTCTGATACAGCTCCGACAGAGTCCCTCCTCCTTCCCCCGCCATAGCGAACAAGAAGAATCCAAGTGATTAAAGTGATGGAGCGGAGCGATGAAAGTGTTACACTTTGGGCCTTTTCTTTCAAATAATGACACTTTACCTCCTTCCGTTTGATTCCGGTCGTCGAACTTGATGATGACAATTGACAAATCTTGGACGTCCGATCACTACTAAATGAGTAAACGACATATCTTAACGTGGTGGTTTAAATAGTTTGAAAGATAAATATAAGAAAATAATAATATTAAATATATTCTTCTAATTTTTTTATTTTTTTTTTTGTGATTTTAATTTGAGTATTATACAATATTTTTTTCCATATACAGCAATTTGTGTTTTATAAAATCGTACAATGCAACATTTAAAATACAAATTATTGTGTACAGAGAAAACCTGTTTTGAACGAATCAACTCCCTTAACTAATAACTATACAATTATTTATGTTTTTTTCACGTTCTATCATAGTTTTATTATTATTAACGTAAACGATATAATATCTAATATTTTTGGTAATTATTATTATTTTAAAATTTTATAAAAATATAATAAACAATGCTTTAGCTTATTATTATTATTATTAGGATTTTCTAATATGTGCCCTAATTACACATATAAAAAGTATTAATTATAGAAAATATTACCATAATTAAATATTAAATGTTTTAATTATATTAAATATTTGTCATTGAAAAATACAAAATACATTAATTATAAAAAATATTCATTTTAATTAATGCATCTTACATTTAAAATATTGTTATGATAAATATAAAATACATTAATTATAAAAAATATTCATTTTAGTTAATGCATCTTACATTTAAAATATTCTTATGATTGGGTGTTAAATATTTTATATCGAATAAAATTAAATTGAATGGTTGATTGATAACACGTGTCATAATATTAGTGGGTATGAATATTTATAGGCATAAAAAAATAGAAGATAATTTAATTTCTTAATTAAAAATTAGTTGATATAACTCTTGGTTGAAAAGCTTTTTGTATATAAGTTTTTTTCGGTTTTTTTTCTTAAAAAAAAAAGCTTGTTGCCAAACATACTTACATTTTTATAATTAAAGGTAAATTATAATTTGAGTAATGATCGAATAGTAGTTTTGAAAATAATTATGTCATAAAAGTATCATGTTCTTTTTAGTTGTTATATAGAAAAGCAATTTCTTGTTTATGATACTTTAAGTTTCAATTCGGATGTTTTTATTGATAAATGATACAAAACATTGTAGTGTGAAAGTTCTTTTTGAATTTGAAGTTATTCCGAAGTACGTTATATATGTAATCACGTAATGCATTTCTTTATCTAATCATGTGCAAATTGTGTATCAAAATGTGAAGAAAAAAAAACATGCACACACACACACCAAGATGCATGTCTCTATTAACAAACAAGTCATAAAATTTGACGATGGGTTATCATTAATCAAAGGCAAAAATCCCATCGAAACCAACTTCAAAGAAACTCAATTTTCAATATATATAATTTTTTTATGTTCTTCTGCTAATCAAGTTTTCTTGGGTGAAAATTCTTTAAACGTCCTACATAGAAATCAAACAACACGGTGTCTCCATGTGCAACATTCACCGGAAAGTTGAACTCCGGTTACCAGTCGCCGGAAAAGCTTGCCGCCGCCTACCCAACTGAAAATCTCCACTCCTTTCGCCAGCAGCCTCCTTACGACCACCACCCGACTTCTTCTTTTCACGCTTACCCTTCTTACCATCTTCCCCTTCAGCTCTACCTGAACCACCTTCCCCAAACCCTACTTCTTTCCTTGCTGCCTCATAATCAAACGGTGTCACCTTCACAAGCCCTGAGGAACCCTCACCACCCTGGTTCAATTTCTGGAAGCTTGAAGAAAGATCCGACAGTGACACATTCCCCTCGTCCCCATCTTCTTTTTCTTCCCCATGATTCCGCTCATCAGAACCGGAATCGGAATCCAACAATATCACTTTGTCTTCATCTTCCGTTTTCCCCTCCCCGCTCTGATCATTGGCGGCTGTTGATTCCGGAGCACCTGCCGGCTCCTCTTCCCCACTGGAATCAGATTCCAGCAAAATAATGTCTTTTTCCGGTTTAGAGGTGGTTGTTGCAGGCGAAACATCCGGAAGCTTCTCGACATTTGAGGTTTCTTGTACAATTGGGCGTGAAGACTCGGGTTTTTCAGTGAAAGAATGGAATGGAAGGGACACGGAAGATTTGATCTGTTCCACCTTAATCTCCTCTGTTGCCTGTACCCAAACCCAAACGAACAAATAGTTTTAACAAAAATGACTAAAATACCCCTCAACAATAACAAAATAAAAGAATCTTGACTACAGGAAACCGGACCTTTGATTCAGCATTTAGTTTCCTCTTTCCAAACATCGATCCAAAGGCACGGCTCGGCTTCTTCTGAACCTCAATGCTTACTCTGGAACCCTGGCATATGATATGACGATTACATTATTTTATTAAAAATTATATATACCATTATATCAAAATGGATGTAAAGAGAGCCGATGACATACAGAAGACCCATCCAATTTATTATTTTGGTTGACTCCAGCAATAAAGTTTCCCACTTCCTTTTCAAAAGAGTCTCCTTCTGCAGCATTACTAACATTTTCACTTGCAGCGACTTCTGCTGCTTCTTGGGCATCTGCATTTCTAGCATTTCTTGCAGCCATCTGCACAATTTAAGGGGAAAAAAACTCCTTATTTCAAATAAAGATCACATCTTTTATCTCGGGTATTCCTTATTTCTTGTTATACACAAAAGGGGTTAGGAAAAGACCGAAATTTTATGAATATATATAAAAAAAAATCAAGAAATCTTACAATTTCAATGTATTCTTCCTTGAGTTTCTTGGCCACGGGTTCAAATGCAGCTGCATTCTGCATGGAATGCCTAATGATGCTGACAACAGAACCAAGGTTGCGCTCGATATATGGGTGTTTGGATTTCATTACATGTCGCAATTTACTAGGTGTCACTGGCATTTGTTTTGCTTTATTTAAAAAAAAAAAAAAAAAAAAAAAAAAGTTAGAAAGAAATCAACCTCGTAGTAAAACACAATGAAAAGATAAAAGGACAATTAAATTACCAATCTCAATGAGTGATTTATTTGGCAATATAAAACCAGTGCTTTCATCTTCTGCACGAGCAATAACATCTCTCCACTCACAAAGTCCCTGCATTCCATTAAAAAAATTATAAACCTTCAAAAAAGTGTTTCTTAAATTATTAGATTTTGTTGTTGAAGAAAAACACAAAGCAGCAACTTACTGCAACAATGGCAAGTTGCTGACCATTGAGATCAGCAGCATGCAACCTGGATCCATGAAAAAACATGTACCCATTAATATTTTTACAATAAACTAAATAGGAATTTTAAAAAAAAAATCAAAAAAGCATCACAATCAAGTCATTAAATTTTAAATCATAAAGCCGATATACGGATATAGTGATTACCCGTATATGTTTAGATATGAGTTCTCAGTCAGAAGCTCTTTCTGATAGAGTTGCATGCATATATCATAACTACGTTGGTATACCTGAAACCAACAATTATCAAAAAATGAATAAGTAAATTTATATTAAATATTTTCATAAGATTGGATGTATACAGAAAAGAAAAATCAAAGCTTACCTCTACCAGAAGTGCTTCAGGGCAATCTGGATCTGTTGATGATGAAAGCAGCCTTCGTTTCATAAGATCATAAATATACAGAAGATAATGTGTGTCTTCTCTAGCATATCTGTTAAAACAAAAATAAAACACACATAAACAAAAAAGAAAAAATTTACTTATAATAAAAAAAAAAATAATAACGTACACAATAAACAAGAACTACCTTAGCATTTCATCAGTCAGTGGACGTAATCGCCAGTCTGCATTTTGGTATCTACAAGAAATTAAAAAATAAATAGAAAGTAAAATAGCAAGCGTTGTACAGTTTATATATAAATGGAAGAAGAGAGTGTACTCTTTATTTGCAGCAACATCACAGAAGTGTCGCAAAAGAAATTCCAGAGAATTTCTCTCCAATTTTAAAACTTTTGAGGCCTATAAAATTTGAAATTTTCACAATCACATTGAGAACATAATAGATACAGTAGATTTTTATTTTAAATTGGAACAAAATTTGTTAATAATGTAAAAGAACAACCTGTCCAGTATCAAACATATTGCAAATGTATATGCCAAAATCACGTTGCAGCCATACAATATCCCGATCAGCTCCATGCAAAACCTGATATAATTTAAGTTGTTATAAAACAGTTCCAGATTTTCTGTCTATTTGTAAATATTGTTTATACCTTTCTTTTGGTAGGATCTTTGAAAACCTCTCGGAGATATGGACCAATGTGAACCCTTAGTTTCAATGTATCCACAATAAAATCTTCTGTTCTAGTAGATATTTGCATCAAACATGTCAAGCCTTGAAAAGATCGATATTGGTTGTGTTCCAAATCAACCTAAAGAAGAACACCAAATCATAATATTAACCATTTGGAAAGGATCTCATGAAGAACATAGTATGCTGTTATAAATAATACCGCAAATTCATCAGCTTCACGCAGTGTAGCAGCTAGTTGCTTCAAATCTTTTACTTCTTGTATGATCTTGAACGATGTGCTTTCAACTGGAGGTGGTTTTACAGGCTCTACATCGCTTACTGTTTTGTCAACGAAATCCATGACAGAAAGGTTCTCCTACAGATACACAGGAAGCAAGGGGAAGTGCTAAGAAGGCTAAAATGAATAGAATCAAAGTAAAACTAGAAAGGGTATAATAGAAGTAAAAGTAACTCACCAGTGGGTGTATCAATTTGGATCCATCCTCACTTCCCTGCAACCAAACATGTTCAAATGGCTGGTTGGCATTATTGACCAGTATTTTATACTCATCTTGTGGCCTCCTAATGGAAGGTATATGAAACGAAACTTTCGCCTTTGGTGTCCCCATTGCGTTACTGTCCCTTGAAACAACCTTCACAGAAGATGCATTGCCCAGATTATTATCAGCACTTCTACTTGAATTGCTATTATTAACTAATGAATCTTTATCGAACGCTTTCTTTTTTCTGCCTTGAACCAGCTGAAACCCATCATCATCAACTAAATTCGTAACCCTAACACCTGTTTCCTC